ACTATCTATATATATATTTATATATAGTTTGCTAAATTCGCACATGATCATACAACTGCACATCAGAAGACAAGTCGCGAAAAGGCTAATCATGATTTTGAAGTGAACTTGCACCCGTGTGCCTTCGAACACATGCGGCCAGTGCAACTGTGCCAAAGAAGCGGTCCCGTTATACCAACACTGCATTTCATACCGTGATGGCCTGTCTCATCCATAGTCTCTTCCCTTGTATCTCGTGTTGCTACAGCGCTGTCTTTAGTACCGGATACAGTGTCTTCTAACGAACCTGCAGAGATGCCGCTCTCCAAACTCTTAGAGCCGCTCGTACTGCTAAGCACGTCTTTGACTGTGGTTGTCAGTGGTCTGGCACTCGTTCTAGTAGCTGGTACTCTGGGTTGCGAACTCACCAACATCCCTGTTACACCAGCTGCCCGCTCTGTCGATAGGTCTTGGTCATCATTCTGGGTGATATCCACACACTCCCCACGGCTCACAAGCGGCCTGGGTGTCTCCCCAGGCGCCTGTTTCTTTACAAAAGACGCTGGTGCCGGGAGAGGGTCTGACTGCACACTGGGCTGTGTACTTGTACGTGACCGTGCCGTGGTTGCTGCGTTGTCCGTCGTGATCCCTACACCCGGTAATACACTCGCCCGTGGGCTTCCGCTCTTGCTGTGCTTGTGGCGTTTCGATTCCCCTCCATCGTTCTGTAGTGTTCGTTTCGTTGCATCCCCGTAGTCATCGCTGTCGCTGATAATTCGCCTGTGTCTGCCTTGCCGGCTGGTACGTATGGGTGAGGGTGTGCGTACACTTCCGTCAGAGCCCGCACTTTTGACCGGCACATGTTCACTCGTTTCCGTGACCAAATCTAGGTCAACATATTGCTGGGTATGCGTGTTGGTATCAGCAGCCGCGTTCGGGTTCGCGGTGATTCTAGGGTGGCCTTTCGCCGACAGGTTGATACCCTCTGGCTTCTTATCAGGAGCATCAGGGTTTATGCGCTGGTTATATTGTTTATAAAAGTTTGCTACGGATGTAGTGTCGGATCCCGATCCATCCAATACCACGTCCTCGATTATGTTTGCTTGTAGTTTGTGTACATCTTTACGCACAAAGGAGCTGGTTTCTACTCTTGAGTGGGGTATCGGGGTTGTCTTCGGCCACTGAGGTGTTATAGCACTAGGTTTAGTCAGAGTAATTCTCGCATGGGGATCGCTTGATAGTGTGCTAGACGCGTACATGGCACCTCCTATCACCGTTGGTTCCCTAGCCCCCTCAAGAGCTGCCGAAGCACTTGTGTGCGATTTCAAGTTATCGCTCACCGAGCGCTGTGCTTTAGGCGACACGGGCGTAGTCGTTAGAGTGGTATCAGAGTTTGTACGAGCCACAGTCTTGGCTTTGGTAGGTGTAGTGGCTTCCGTAAATGTAGTGTATGACTGGCAGTGCGGAGCCTCAACCGTTGGGCTGGCTTGAGACTCCGCGTCAAGTACAACTGGAGCCCTCGGACCGGAATTATGTGTTAGTCTCTTCGCTTTTAGCTTATCCTGCTCCTTCTTCCAGATACAAACGGTTTTGTGTGATACCCAATCATATACCTGAACGTTTATAGAAAATATTCAAGATGTATAATTGAGCAAGAAAAAAGTAGAACCCCTTACTTGGCGCGACGCCTAAAGGACGTTTGACAAGAGAGAGTACGCCGACGCACACACACATATACATATATAT